ACTATAAGATCTGTTGTTGTTCAACTTTCAATATTCATCTTGCTCTTGTCCTGTTTATGCTTTGATTTGACCGTTTGCTGCGGGATAGATACGGACATTTGTTTTGTACTAGCTCGTTAGACAAACGTCTGGATCACAGATTTTCTTAGAAAATTGCTTTTCAAATTGATTTATTGAGTGAACACAAAGTCGTCTAATCGAAGCTTACTTTGTCCAGATAATCGCATAAAGTAAACACCATTCTCTAAATACTCACCTTCGCTGCTTCAACCGCTTTGAGGGGCAGCTTAATTTGCGGGAATGCATACATCGCCCCGGTGATGGGATTGCATCGAAATCCGGGTAACGCGTTTAGAGATTGAGTGACCAGGGCTGCTTTTTGTTTCAACGCTGAGAGAACAGTATCCTTCTCTCTTGTAAATGACTCGTACGAAGGTTCACCTTTTTGTGGCGGGTTGACCACCACGTCGAGAGTCAACTACAGATTGTAAGAAAAAGAATAATACGATTGATACAAATAGGTAAACAGCCTGAATGCTTTGTCACTCTGAAACTAACTTGGTAACAAATGTGTTTAGTGAGTGATGTCGATCGCAATCGCTCTTGGTCTATGGTTCTGCATGATAATGATAACACAAAAGCTATAGTATGCATGTATACAGGTGTAGCAAAATGATCTAGGATACATTGCACAACCCTGAGGTTTCTGAGTTCTCGATTCAAATTCATCCCGAGGAAACTTCGCTTCAGCATGCATTAGAGTTAGAAGAGTTACGCTCTGGCCGAATTTTATTAAACCAGGTTTCCACTCTAAATCACAGTTATGATTTAAAAACAAAAGCGAATTAATATGTGGTTTGCTCTAAACTTTTAAAAATTCCTATAAAAGTAACACGAAACACTCTGAAGTGAAACTAATTTGAAATAGATCCATAAGTAAAACAATGCGACTCAACGTGAACTCAAGAATCTGTGATGAAGTAATTATTTTTTAAGCACTGAAACATAAATAAGATAAATTCAATAATTTGTGTTAAAACTCACGATGCATGGCAACACAGCAAGAAGCAAATCAGTCGTGGATTCCTCAGGTGGGGTAAAACAAAACTCGCTTTATTATTCTATCTGTCTAAGTTCATTGTTTGCTACCGTTAAGCATGCGCTTTCATGAGCCGGTTGTAATGCTGCCTCTTTGTTTCCCATTAGGATGAATGAATAAAGGGAGGGATTGGAGTGTTGAAATCCGATTCCGGGTGAAAATTGCGAACTTATGAATACATAGGTTGTAAGGGCAGTTAGTAGCTGCACGAACGTCACCGTTGACGATACTTAGCCATATTACTTAGTCTCTAAACATCGGTTACGCTGATCGCCATGTCACATCAGAACCAGACCGCATTTTGACGTGATGTGATGGTTTACTTACCTCCATGACTCTGTGAGCTATACAACCGCAAATCCAATCGTACCTGAAACATTAGTGGGCATAAGCTAGACGAAGCTCAGTCTCTCAAGGTCACCTAATTGGTCACCTCCTGGCTTGTCTTTTTTATCCACTCTGGCCCCTGGATAGGCCACTCCAGCAAATAGACACTGGCAGGCGTGAGGTATCGGTAAAATATCTGCTAGACGAGAGAAGTCTTCGTATTTCATTGGATAGCTACAGACCGCCCAAGTTGTGGATCTTCCAGCAAATAGGATGCTATGCCGTCCGCATTCCGCTTGTCTCATTGGGCGCATGAAGCTGAGGGTTCATCCCGACCAGCGAATTGTCACTCAAGCATTTGTGAGATACACGCCTAACCGAAACCTCGAGGGCCTTCCGTGAAAGGTGTCTGGAAGCTTCCACGTGGGAGCTTCTGTTATGCTCCCACGTTGGATATACACTCCACTCCCTTGGGAGTTGAACTTTTGAGTTGAAGACTCCTGTTAGGGATCTTAAGAACAAAACCCCTTATGTTGATGTAGGTCACCACGAAGTATGTCGTGCCCTAAAATATCAGGCACCCATTTGGAAAACTATGTTTATCATTCTGGCTCACTAGTAAGGAATAACAAGATCTTCACTACTGTAAGTGTGCTACCCTGTTGTATAGCATTCAAAGCCAAAGTTTGCTCCTTCCTTCAGATCTCCGTACTACGCTGAAAATCTCATTTCGTGTTTTGTTTTAACAGCCATCATCAACTTGCTGTAGCGTGGATAACAGATTCGTTTACACTTCACCGATTTCAGCCAGAATAGTTTGCTCAGGGTTTTCCATGCTTCTCAAAAAACTCTGCAAACTAACCCCCTCCCCCATTAAGTGCATTACATGAGCTAAGAAGTATTTATTACTGCCTATCCCACCTGATTCAACCATCATGGATAAATTGAAAGTGTGCATTTTTGAATCGGTCACTGCTTCTCCCCTCAGTCTCAAAGCAGTGTTGCTGAATTGACCATACTGCAACCCAAATAATAAATTTATTGTTACTGTTTAGTAATAGTATATAACTAGTATTTATCATCCCAATACTGGTCTTCCTGTTTTGTCTCCAGTCAGAACTGAAATAGTTCTTCAAATTCCGTCTCAAAGGCATTGGAACGAAAAGGAAACCGATCCAGGGCCTAGAGACGATGGTGTATAGGAAATGCGCAAACCATATCACTGATAGTGAACTGCGATCTATTCGTGATGCTAAACTTTAGAAAGGCTACCTAGAACTATCCGTGGACAATATTTTGTTGTCACTTGATGTCAAATAAGGCCACTACCGTGAGAAAGAAAACCTCCTACTAATTGCTACCATTTTAGAAATACACAACTGCCCAGCATTATGTTCATCTCCTGGCCACTCTTGTGTTTCCGACTCAAAGATAAATTGCCCGCTTATGCACACTCTGTTTGTGTGTACTCGTTTACCCTCTCCTGTGGGACAAGGAAGGTTGGCCACACTAGTACTGTTTTTCTGAACGAGTCCACGTGCACCACACGGTTTGGTTAAGTAGTGGAGTTACATAGGTCATTTCGCACCCAGAGAAGCCAAACCACATGGTCATTGTAGCTGGAGCAGTTCTGCCCATTTATTCATTAAGGAACTGTCGATCTAATGACGTTAGAAGTCATCCTGGTCACAACATAATCGATCAGAATCCGTCTGTGTAATCCCACCACTTGTTCCCGCAAACAACCTGTCAGAGCGGTCGGTCTTCCCGGACCATCACCACGCAAGACGCAATCATACCCCTAATGATCACTGCTTATGTGTGGGAACAAGGTGTGAGCAACATCTGGTTATGAAAACTGAAAGGCATTTTTTTCTCCTCATTCAATAATTAACCTTTTCCCACCAAACAGTATGATATCAATTGTGATGCGTTAGCTGGTGGATGAATCACCGAAAACTAGCATGTTTGAACTGTTTTCTTTTAATTCTCTTATCACAGCAGTGACAAAGATCCATCCACCGAAATTTACAAGTTCGAGTGTTGGACATGCCTAACGTCTGTCACATTGCACCCTATTTACCATCGCTATTCCATAATCTTGGGCAGTTTTCATGCGGGTAAATCTACGTCTATTAATTAGATGCCGTTTAGGTTAGAAAATTCAGAAACTCATGAAGCTTGATTCCAGAATTTCTGCTTCTCTGGAGTGCGTTTCGTAAACAACACGGACTCCAACGGGGATGTGTAGCGATGCATTGCTTAAT